TACTGGGTGCTGATGCCCCAAGCTGCAGGGCTGCTGATCTTCCTGGGGTTACTACCATCCCTTTGTAAGCACAACCAGCAATGTGTCAGCCCCTGGCTCTGCAGCCAACTGCATTTTAAAGCTCTCCATTGATGTCTGAAGAAGCAACACAACAGGTTGAACCCTTCAAATCCAAATCCCCCTATGCCTAGAGCAAGTCCAGACCTGCAGTGTAAGTCTGGTCTCTCCTCTAGCTGCACCCTCTCACAGAGGAGCACCTTTAGGATGAAGTATCTTCATGCTTCCACTTCTGGGCACCTTTTTACCTGTCTGAGCTGCTCTCAAGTGTGCCCTGGCATGTCCCTGCTCCTGCTGGCACTGTGGGGCTGGCAGGACTGGTGACATGGGCTTGCTTGTCTGCATGCTCGCTGTCAGCAGCGTGGCCAGCTCAGTGCTGCTAGTGACAAAGGCAGGGACCAAGAAGGGCATGATGTCATTCTCAGATCCATCGGGAAGTTTTCAGCAGTGATGGCTGGAAAAAAACAGCATTTTTCCTGTGAAAAAGGGCGCATTTGCTCTGGTTTCAATGAGAAAGAAATAGCCTGCTAGTGACTGTCCTTAATTGATTAGTCATTTCTGCAGATGATAATTGCACATCAAAAGACTGAGATCCTACTGTTTCATGCAAATGTCCTTATGAATAACAGCCAGGCACAGGGGAAGGGGATACAGGAAATAAATCCTCTAGAAGCCACCCAGGAGGATTTGGAGCTCGAGTTTCATTTCAGGAAAAAAATTTTGCTCTCCAAAGAAATACCCTCAACATCAGCTACTTCCCAAGGTCCTAACACTGGAATGGACCTCCTGTCCCTCCCGCTCCCTGTGCATCATCCCCACTTCAAGATCCTTTCTGCCCTCTCTGGCACATATCAGGGTGTCCACGCTGGGTCCTGCTCCCCGGGCTGTGATGTCTGGGGTTGAACCACCATCTCCTGGGCTCACATGAGAACCCCCATGTTCACTGAATTACTTGAGCGCGGCTGCTAGCCCTGGTGTCTGGCAAAGGAGGCTTGTGAGCATGACTCAGTCAGCCTCCAAAAGCAGCCATGAAAAACAAGGACCTGCTGTGAGCTGCATTTTGATTTCTTAGCCAATCTCATGATGTTTTGCAGGGCCAAAGCATGGGGCTGTAAGATCAGGGCAGCCTTAGGAACTCCAGGCATTCCTGGGGGATTGGAGCAAATTGTCCATCTGGCAAAAGGAGATATCGCTGGGGTCATGGGGAGGCTCTTGCCTGCAGGAACCAAGACCCTGTATCTCCAGGGCTGCAGCCACAGCATGAATAAACCTTTTGCAGGTGTCATTTCTTGTTTGGGGTAGTTCAAAGGCTCCTCAAAGGCCACCCTCATATCTGCCCCCTCACTGGCCAGGGTGAATCCCTGAACAGGGTGAATCCTCAGAACAGAGGTAGCAAAGCAGACCCTGGGGTAACATCGGACTGTGCTCTTGTATCTGCCCGGGGTGAGCAGCATTGTCTCCTTCAGGCCACATCAGTGGTCTGCAGAGCAGTAAGCTGCCCTCAGCACTACAGGGGGGATGACTGTGGCCAAGGGAGGAAGTGTTTATGGTTGTGGAAAAACTGTTCTGCAAATGACTCCAGCCTAAACTGCTCTATAGTCCCTACAGTGACAGCAGGGAGCTAGATTTGACCTTCTACGTGGGGCTACCCAAATTTGCACTCCCAGGTTCATCCATATCGTCTTCAGCGTGGGCTCAAAAGCTGCTGGCGTTTAATCATTCCTTCATCTCCTTGTCACTGTCACTGATGAAGTCACTGACCAAAGAGCACTTTGGATCCTCAGGGTAGGCTGAATTTCCTTGCTGATCCTGCCGCAGCCAGGTTCAGATCTGCTACCTTCAGATGTCTCGTGTGGAGGGGCTGTCAAGCTCCTTCCTTCCCTCTTTGTAGTCTGAGGAGAAATAGGCACTTTCAGGGCATGAGTCATCTGACCTATTTAGCCATCTTAGGGAGAGATGAATGAGTCGAGAGGGCTTGTTTCTTTCCACTGTCTAGACAGCCAACCTCTTGACTGCAAACACCTACCCCTGCTCTCCTGGAGCACACCAAGCACCCTTCCCAGGCTGCTGAGGGGTGCTGGCTTCTGGTGGGCTTCCAGCACAGGCCCAGGGTTGGATCATACCTAGATACCCTCAGAGGAATGCTTGTTCTAAAGGCAAGGGAAGATCTCAACACCATAAGAGTGGAAATACAATTCTGGACAACCTTCTCTGCCACTAGGAGGGTTTTGTGGAGTTGAGCTTGCCCTGATCACGCTGGCCCTAGGACAGGATGCTCTGAATAACATCTGGCTGTGTTAGCCGAAAAGGAACGGGGATTATCCTAGTGCTGTCACCAGCTTACCTGAGACCTCGTGCTCTGCCATAGGGGCACAGTGTGCTAGAGCCTGCGACACCTCTGCCTGGTCTTCATAGAAGTACAAAATCCCAGACTGGGCTGTGCTGAAGGGAGCTTAAAGCTCCTCCAGTTGCAGCACCTTCCACTAGAGCACCTTGCTCCAAGCCCCTGTGTCCAGCCTGGCTTTGAACACTGCCAGGGATGGGGCAGCCACAGCTTCTCCGGGTACCCTGTGCCAGCGCCTCAGCACCCTCACAGGGAAGAGCTTGTGCCTGAGACCTTAGGAGAAAGCCCAGTTACTGTCACTGAGATTCCTGGCACCGTAATAACATTTTTTACATAAAGGAAAATGTCTAAGCAAGCAATTACCATCTCTAGATAATCATGGTCCATAGACCGCCTACCTCTGCTTGTCCGCTAATCCCACAAAACAGTTCAGCTCCTGAGCTCAACCTTCCTCTACAGGGCCACAGCTGATAAAGATCCACAGATGTCACTAAGATTCAGTGGCATGAACTGATGAGGACAGGGAAGGTTTGGGAGGTGGTATGACACAGACCAAAAGGCCTCTAACATAGAAGGCTGTGCATCTGGGCATGAAACTGATTGGCTGTGTCCAAGAGAGAGGGACTTTGGCACTGAGAAGAGCCAATGGGTGACAAATGGCCTAAAGTCATCTTTTGTTTGAAAAGGAGGGGAAGAGTGAGTCACAGCAGGGGTTGGACTCACATCTGTACTCCACAACCCTGAGGCAGACCCTGAGCACTGGAACACATTTTGGAAAGCATGCTCTGCTACCAGCAATGGCACAAATAGGATGCCAGAACCAGTAAAAACAGCCTGAGAAAGGGTTTGATGGTGAGAGACGAGGAGAATGCGTGTTTGTAACCAAGCACAAAGGTTGAGAGGGCTCCTGAGCACAGGTCTAGCCTAGAAAAAACAGCCTATGGTGCAGCTGGAGGCAATGGATTCGGACAGAGCCAAAGGGCTCGAAGGTGCAGGCAGCAAATTCAAATGGGAAGAAGGGATGTGCCACTAACCATGGGGTTCATTGGCCACCGAAGCTGTGTGAAAAGACTTAATGCTCTGGAAGTGCTCTAATACAGATTCCCTATCATGAGGGAAGAGCTTTAGGTGAACAGAAGACAACCTCAAGTCAAGAAGTTGTTACTGGGCTCTATGTGTAGGAATGCATCAAACTGCCCTGTTATGCTCTGGGGGTCAGAGGCACCAGCCTGATCCAGGACCTATGGTGCTATGGCCCAAGTTCACCCTTCTTGGATTAAACACATGGCAGAGGTGGAGGGAAGAGGCAGCAGTGCCCACCCTGCAGCTCCTCCTGCAGACTGTGTCCATTTGCCTGTGGCATCACCCCACCTCTTCTGGCACAAGCAGAGGCTTTGGGAATGTGTTGGAATCTCTGGAGTGACTGAAATCCCCCAAATCTCTGGGATTTCTTACGTCAGCCCCTTCCTGTCTGCTCCTGCCCTTCGTTCCAGGAGCCTGCCCTTCCTTCGGGATCTGGGGCCGCTGTAGCAGGGAAGCACACACTGAGATGTTTGAGGCTTTCTGGAAGCATCAGGAGAGGGCTAGGAGTTCACACTGATTCCTCCACACCCCATCCCTGCTAGCAGCATCCTGCAGCCAGGAAGAGCCCGGCCAAAGCAGGAGCCTGGGTCCTGCCCCTGCCATCGCAGACACAAGAAGGAGGCCACGTTCAAAATTAATATGTATTTTTATTGAATAGTTGCTCTAAGTGGGCTTCTGAAGCCACCATAGAATTAATTCTGTCATCTCAGCAGTGGTTCAGTAACATCAGCTTTGCGAGAGAAGAAAACCAAACAGAAGAGGGTGCATTAAAATAAATAGGTTATTTTTCTTATCTTTAAAATAAACTTTTCAAATAAATACTTTGGGTTGTTTGGGGTTTTGTTTTTTTTTTTTTGTTTTTTTTTTGCTTTTTTCCCTTAGAAGGTACAAGAGTATTGTCAAAAAACAGCCATCAGGTTATAAACATATACCTTATAGAAAGGAACCCAAGTGAAGACAGCAGGGAGGGTCTCTTTATACACTGTACAGAATGCCTTTGTACCAGTTCAGTGGAGGATTAGATGCTTCGGTTCTTGGTATGAGACTCTTCCTTGAAGCCAGGGGTGATCCATCTTCTAAGGAGAGCTTTGTGCTGAGGACACCTGGGGGGGCAGGAGGCAGCTTGGCCGCTGCTGGTCCACAGAGTATCAGAAAGGGCTGAGGGAGCTGCTGGGAGATGATGGGCAGAGGGGAATGGGATGGGAAGGGGAAAGGGCTCTGCTGGTCCAGCTCCGGGATGACCACACACCTCCCAGCTGGAACAAAGGGTATAAGAAACCTCCTCTCCCCATGCCCAGGCCAGCTCAACATGGGCAGTTTGGTCCTGCTTGTGCTGGAGCCCTTTGGGGTGCTGCAGGAAGGTGCAGTAGGACAGAGGCTTAGAGAAAGGCTTGGCACTGCTCCCCCTTACCTGGTGCTCGCACATTCACCCTGCCCCATGAGGTGTGTGGTCTCTTCCCATCCAACCATCCATCCATCCATCCATCCGTCCATCCAACCATCCATCCGTCCATCCATCCATCCATCCATCCATCCATCCATCCATCCATCCATGTATGTTCCTCCTACCACGAACAGGTGTTGGGGTGGGGTTCACCTCCCATCTACTTTCCTCACATGCTGATCACAAGAAATGAAACCTTCCAATATCTGAAGAGCTCCCAGTTCCTCCACCCAAGGGCCAGAGATGGAGCAAATTAGTGAAGTGTGTGCTGCAGACAGCAAGTTGAGGGCACAGTGTGGTGCTCCCCTGTGCAAACTCCTCACCTCTCTACTCATCCCTCTATTGCGCTCAAGCAGCCACTCCTAAATGGCTATCCTGTGCTTTGGCATCTTTTGGTCAATGACACTTGCCCACAGTTTGGGCTTCACACATGGGGATGTGGAAGAGCGATCTCAACGGGATTTTATGGGAATCTGAGTAGAGTCCCAAAGAACTTCCCCCCCTGTTCTTTGAGGTACTTGGCTGGCACCAATGTTTCTCAGGGATGGGTGGACAGGAGCCCAAGGACCATTTCAGCCCTTCGACTAGGAGGGCTGAGGAGCTCGAAAGGGACGGAGACTCCACCCTGGTCCCCCGTGACCCCTCATCACCAGTGCAAGGGCCAGTAGGGAAGGAGGGGAGAGAGACCAAGGGAAGTCTCAGAGAAAGCAAGCACCAGCAGGACTTCTTGTGTGGATGGAGCTTTGGAGGTCTGGGCAGGAAAAGGAAGCTCCTGTATGGGGAGCAGAGCAGGGGAAGCGCAGGTCCTGCTCAGCACCTCCTGCCTCGTGCTCCTTTGGCACCTGAGTGTCCCTTTCCCCATCTAAATCCTCCCTACACCCCTGCATGTTTCCCAGCAGAAGAGCCCCCATCCATTAGAGACACACAACACGAGAGCCATTCCCTGGCAGAGCGGATCCATCCCTGTCAGCTCCCAGGGAAAAGGGAGAACTCGGCACACGACTCTCCCAGAAGAAAACCAAGAAAGACACGTCAGGACAGAGACAGACCCAAACTGCCGGGACAGGCAGCTGCAAACAAACAGCCAGAGCAGATGTGATGTGACTCACTGCAGGGTGGGGCAGGAAAGGGGCTCACAACCCCAACCAGAGCTGGAGTCCTCTCTGATGGGAAACCAGACTCTGGCAGCTGGAGATGGGGAGAGAGCGGGATGGATCTTTTCTGGAGATGTTAGGAAAAGTTCAGGAAAAAAAGCATGATGAGAGGCTACCCACAGTGCTCCTGACACCAGATGAGCTCCGTGAACCAGAGCTGGCCTCCGTGAACAGCTTCTGGCAAATCCTGACTTGCCCTTTCTGCCAAGAGCAAGGAGTGGGAGCTGGATGAGACCCCTCCAGATGGAGTGGGAAGCAGTAACCCCCCGTGAAGCCACCTGCCCTTGTGAGCAGGGTTGAAGCCAACAGCCCTAAACCTCTCTAGCCTATGCAACCACAAGTCCTGGATGTGGCTTTGCATTTTGAGCTCAACACAGCTAAACCAAAGCCCTGCACTGGTCTGACAGCCCTCAGTGCCCATCGGGCTGTCCTCTCCAATTCCCCTCCTACAAGTTCCCTATTTCATAATACATCTCACAGGTTTTTCATTTGTTGGAGAGGAGACTCGGGAGATGTGGTTGGACTGCTCAGGCCTGCATCCCGCTATGGCACCATCCCCTAGGAGAACTGGGGCTCCTGCACTGGCCCAGGAAAGGCCCATTAGGTAGAAGGGCACTGCAGGAGTCCTGGCCTGAAGGCAAATGTGCTGCAGGAGCAGCACAGGGCTTGGCTGAGCAAAGCTCTGGGGAGCAGGTGTGTGGACACCCATCTCCTCATCCAACAGCTCCAGCACCTGGGGGAGGTCACCCCGTGCCTGCATGACTTGGGAGGCCATGAAAATGATGCAGCTTCACATGTTGAGTCATTGCACCATCAGGAGAGGAAGCAATGAATTGCAGAGATACAGAGGTGGTAACTAAATTTACAAGTAAGATCCATTTAAAAAGGAGGAAAAAAAAAACCCAACCATATATCAAAGTAGAGCAAGTTGGAAAATTCTGTTCATTAGTTTTCTTCAGAAAGTTTCAATGAACCATTTCACATTCTCATTGGAGTGAGAATTCCTCAAACCCTCAGTGAAAACGGGACCTTTTATTTCCCTAAAAACAAAAGGTTTAATTCTTCTAGGAAGGACTTGTATCGGCACAAGCAGAGAAGGGAACTGAGTGCTCAGGAGGAAGGGTGCCTCATGGTGGAAGTCTCTCCCCCAGGCATCACTTGGAAGTGAAGAGCCAAGCAATTATTGGCATACGGATAAATATGACCGCAATATATAAGTGCTGCCACAAGGACATGGACTGAGCTTATGGGGGTCACACATCTACAGGGCATCCTCTGAGAAGGTCATTGCCCTAAAACCCAACCCATTGCAGAGTTCAGGGCTGGCCACAGAGGGCATACAAACCACACAGATGTGGCCCTCTCTGTTCTTCATGCCAGGAGATCCTCACTACAACCTAGAGCATCATCCTGAATTTCCCACAGCTTATGGAAGTGGTCTCTCTCCATCTCTGGCCAAAGGAAGCATCTTTCAAAGTCCCCCCTTGGGCTCCAATTGAAAGCAGGGTGAGGATTTCAGCCATGTCCCCAACATGGCCCAGACACAACCTCACACCAGGGCTGGGATTCATCTCTCCTTCCACAGGGAACCTCGACTTCCAGTATTTGGGTCCTGTTTGAGTTGAGGGAGACAAGCAGGATCAGATCATTTAATGAATAGTGTTTTCAAGGGGGATGAATCACTCTCTGAATCTGCTTTTCTCTGCAATGGAAGGAGCTTGGATTAGCCACAATTTTTAGACAGCAAATATATGGGAAGAGGAATCCCATGATGAGAGCCTACCTCATCGCCTCACCCCAGAGCCAGCACTAAATCCTACCCTCTCCCTGCAAAGCAACCTCCCCCAGGACAAGCTGTAAACCTCCTTTTCCCCCTGTCCCAACTACCTGGGAACTAGAGGTCTAGAATTAGCAAGAACCATACTGGGAAATCATCTTTCAGCATGCACAAGTGTACCAGGAAGCCAACCCTTGCATCTGTCACTGTTCACAGCAGTATCATTATTAGTAATAGACCTAGCCATCCTAACGTTGTATTTCTATATACAAAAATAGATCCACAGAACTCTAAGTGAAGAGGTGGCTGAGGGAAGGCAATGGATGAGCCCTGGGTGGCAAGGACTTGGAGGAAGCCAAGGGACATGTTGCATATATTTCTCCAGGGGATCCGTTTGCTTCCCCTCTGCTCTCACACCCTTTGGAGGAGGGACCAGCAGTTAGAGCTGATCACTGGGACATCCTCCCAGCTCCAGCTCCCCGGGCCAATGGGCTGGTGACAGCAGGGTCACTCCCGGCAGCTGGCAAGCAGAGATGGGGCTTGGATCAGCCTTGGAGTCCAGGACCAGGAGGAGCTCCCTGTAACTGCAGCAACAGGTTGGGCTTCTTATCCTCACAGCAAGCAAAGCACGAAGCACTGACCCTGAGTCAGGTTTCCTCCTGGTCTGCAGATGGCCCAGTCCCAGGACTTGGTTCAGACCCATCTCCAGTTTGCCACAGGAACACCCTCAGCAATGCCTCCAGGGTTTGCCCACCAGCATCACACTGGTGTTGGTTTTGGTGTGACACTGTGCAGCAAGGAAAGCGAGGGGAGGACTAAAAGGCAACTTCAGGGAGGGAAAGTCAGGCTCCCATCTTCCAGGCCCCCTTTTTGCCCTCTGCTTCCCTCCAGCTCAAAGCAGGAGGCGCAGGAGTCCCCCCCCAGGGTGGGTGCTCTCCAATGGGGCTGGCAGCGCAAGCACAGGGTGCATATTTGTGTTTGTGATCTTCATTTAAAGTGAATTCAGTGCTGGTGGAAGGTACCAGATCGGGGCTTTTGGTGTCTGTGGCATTGATGGAGCCGGGCAGCAGCTCCCATCCCGCCGGGGTTTGCACCCTGGAGGCAGCCCTTCAAGGCATTGAGAAATGAATTTCAGTTTCAACCCAGCTGCTTGTTCTCCACCAAATCCCAGAGGGGACCTTTCCCTAGCTGCAGTCGGGCAGAAGCGAGTGGGCTGGCCTGCCTCCTATAGCTCCTTCCCCTGCCAGAAGGTTTCTAAAGCTTCCCACACCTTCCCTTCCTCTTTGAGACAGAAAAATACGATGCCACCTCATTTTGAAGCTAGCTTCCTTCTCCCAGAGGCTTCCAAGCCCAGATGGAAGTCGCTGCCATTGACGGAACCCTGCCTCACCCCAGCCCTTGGGGAAAGCAGATCTATAGCCACGTGAGAGCAAAGAGGCCACCCAAAGAAAGTGCTGGAGAAGGAGAAAGACAGAGAAGGGGAGGTCTGGCTCCTGGAGGGCTCTTGCACAGGTGATGCATTGACCTGACTTGTCCCGCCATCAGGAAGGACCTCACCATGGGGCAGTGGCAGCTCTGAAAACCCTCCCAGAGCAGAGTCCTGAGGACACACTCCCAAACACCCTTGGTCTTCCTCCTCTTTTCCTTTCCTGGTCCCTCACCTGCATGTGCAAAACCGCCACTGGCTCCCCAGCGGGTGCCAGCTCCCCCAGGCACTCCTCTGTGGGACCCCCAGCTCACCAGTCTTATTCCCAAGGGGTTATGGTGGTAGGGGGGAAGCGCTGCAGAACGGACGGGTGCTGGAAGAGGAGGGGGATGGCAAGGAGAGGAGGAGGATGAGGAGGAAGAGGAATAAAGCCTGCTTCTCCTCCCCGGGAGGGTCATACCAGCTTATCCAGCGTCTTGGGGAAAGGTGTGCTGCTGGAGGAAGAGATCTTCCTGCAGACTGTGTTAGTGTGGCTCTGGCAGCGGCAGCCGGGTCGTTTCAGGCCATCATAACCCCGCTGGCAAAGTTTGAGGCACCCCAGGGTAGGAAAGTAGCAGCAGAGGCAGGGCATGAGGATGGAGAGGAAGCTCATGGCAGCCCAGCGGGCGCAGCAGGACCCCGGCCCGCAGGAGCAGGGGTCGTCAGCGCAGGTGTCCTCATCGTCAGTGGAGCAGTGGTAGAAGAGACCCTTGACGCAGCAGAGGCAAGTCCCGTAGTCGAGGAGGCTCTCCGGGGAGCAGAGGCAGCGCTGGTTGCAGAGCCAGCAGGAGGGCAGGCTGCGAGCGGCCGTGCAGCGCCCGCACTTGCAGCGCCCGCACTCCTCGCAGAGGAAGAGGTGCCCAGGATGCAGGGGGGGCTTCTCCACCACCCCCTTCAGCGGAGACTCCTCCGCTTTCAGCTCGCCGGCCCGCGGCTGCGTCCGGATCAGGGAGTGCCCGGAGTGGGAAGGGGTGAGGCTGCTCAGGAGACGCTGGTCGGAGGCCGTGGTGCTTTGGGAGACAGAGCTGGCTGTGCTGGAGTGGCTCATGTGCTGTTGCAAGGGTGGTATCTGGTGCTGTTGGCTGTGGCTGCGGTGCAGGTCCTGGAAGGTGGAAGACACCAGGCGGTCCTGGGACCACTCTTGCTTGTGCGGAAGCTGGGACAGGGATGGGTTGGAGCGGGCTTGCTGGACGCACACAGCCGGTCTCTCCACGTAGTTGTTGCTGGCACGGATGGAGCGGATTTGGTCGATGGACAGGACCTGCTGGAAGTCCTCCACGGGTGGGTCCATTGTCTCGTCACAGCTGAGCTCAGCCACACTGGAAGAGAGCTGCATTTCCAGGAGTGAGGAGACCCTGTGGCATCAGGGCACATCTACAGATCCTAAAGGATGGGGCAGGAAGACAGAAAACATTTGTGTTACATTCTATAACATTCATCCGCGTAAAGCAGGAAGCAAAGGACGGCTGGAGAACTCCTAATGAAGTTATTTCCAACAGTCAGACTCCAAGTACTTCTGTGCCTGGGGACACAGGCTGGACACAGCCAAAATCTGTCCCTTGACCCAGGCGGTCGCAGCATCTCCTCAGGCTCCTCATGTCCTTCCAGAGGATTTCCCACCCCTTGCCAGCACTGATGGACCACATCCATCCTTCCTCTCCTTCCCAGGGGAAATGCCAGCCCTCTCTGGAGGAGGAAAACTTGAAGCTGCGACTTATCCAGAGCCAGTGACAGAATTGGGAACAGCATCTCCTCCCGAGCAGGAGATTCTTTTGGGGTTTCCCAGTGCACCCAGAGCAGCCTCCCAGTGCTGTAACATGGACATAGGGTTGGAGGGGTGCTGGACACTAATTTCAGGCAGTATCAGCAACAAATTGCAACTGACACATGTTGGGCCAGAGACAAGCCAACCCCACAGTTCCCACTGCAGCATCCTGCTTTCCCATGCATGCCCAGGAGCTGTCACCCCCTCAGGAACCCCGGGAAGGGCAGGGTTTGGTTTCTCCTTCACCCCAGCACAAGCAGAGGGGAAGTAGGGAAAGCAGCGCTGTCAGCAGGCAAGCCCCAGCCTGCTCCCTGCCCCGAGGCTGCCGTGTGTCTGCTGCTGTGCTCAGGAAACGGTACTTCCTGAGTCTGCAGCACCGGCAGGCGCCTGCTTTACTCCAGAGGGAAGGTCCGGACTCCCGGAGGGCAGTGGGGCTGGGGCAGAGAGTACCCCCGTGTCCTACAACTCCCCCCCCAGCAGGTTTGACCTGATGGCATCGGGCCCATCACCAAACCTGGGCTGCCATCATACCTCTCCGCTGGCGTCTGGTGAAGCCTCAGTGGGGCTGAGTGAGGAGAGGGGCAGAAGGGCTCTCAGTGGAGCCACCTCTCTCCCCTTAGGATGGATGGAGGGAGAAGCTTGTGCTGCCCACAAAACAAGGCAAGCAGAGCACGCGGAGGATGGAGCCATTCTGCATTCCAGACCAACCCCCCAGCACTTCCAGCCCAGATCTCAGGGTCGGATCCCTGCTCTCCGGGCACAGTTTCCCCAGGACAAAGCCATTCTCCTCTGTCAGATCAGACAAGTGATCCTTCAGTAACAGACACCTTTTGGTGCCAGGGCCTGCAGGAAGACGGTTTCCCTGAGGAAGCTCCCCACGGTCAGGCAGTGCTGGAGCCTTTCAAGTAGGTGAGGGGCCACAGGTAGAATCTGCTCATGCAGCAGAGAAAGGCAGAGGGAAGATTGATTTTCATTAGCCAGGCTGACCTTGAGAAGCAGGCAAAAGCAAAGGCAACTTACTTTGACTGTTCAAGCAAGATCTCATCTCTCCCATTTCCCTCCCAGGAAAGAAAAAGCGATGGATCTGAGATTTGGGGTTTTCCTGTGCCTGAAGCCCACCTGTGCCCCTCCCTTTGTGATTCAAGTGAGATGTTCACCCCATCCAAGGAGAGGCAGGCAGGCAGGGAATTAGTAGGTCTCCTGGGACACCCACAATAGATTTGGATGCTGATTTCTTTACCACTAATACCAAGGTGAATTGGGAGGGCAGAGCTGACCCAGGTTGTGAGCACACTGACAGGATGGGAATGGGACATGGAGGAAAAACACCCTCCTGTGAGTTGCTGCCTGCTGCCACTGAGCTCCTCACCTGGTCATACTAAAGCACAGGCTGGTGACCTGAAGTCCCCTGGATCCCTGAAGGGATATGACCCATCTTCATCTGTAGCTAGGACTACACAGGGGAGAGCGGAGAACAGCCTCCAAGGGTTCCCAGGTCCCTCATGACCCAGATCCCACCTCGGGGTGGGATCGTGTGGAGGAAGATGCTGATTCCACCCACAGAGGAGCTGCTCACAGCTGGGTGTCCGTCCCCTCTAACTTGTGCAATGAGATTTGGCAGCACTTGGGTATTAGGGCTCGGGCAGCAAGGCCCCATGAGGCTTCCACATTAGGTTTGAACCAAAGTGTGACCCAAGGGGCAAGACTGAGGGTCCTGAGATAAAGAGCAGCTCAAGGGCAGACCCACCACAGCCACCCCCAGCCCTCTATGCAAGACCTGGAGCTCAGGAGACATGAGGACACCCATGAGATGGGCTTAGGCAGAAGGAAGTGCACAGGGGACACTGGGGGGAGAAACAGAGCTTGGGAACAGCAGGCAGACAGAGCTGGCAGTTGGGCCACGCGGTGTCTGCCAACCCTGACACTTAGGATCAGGGCTTGGACGGGTCCTGGGCAAGGCAGGTCCTGGTAGGACCCCCAGCACAGAACCAGGGCTCAAATGCTCCTGGACCTCCAATTTCCAGGTGCAAGGTTTGGACATGGACCCAGATTTGCTGGCTCAGGGAGGCAAAAGCCCCCCTGGGACCCAAGGGGACATGAACCAGAGGATCTGTGGGTCCTCCAGTCCAGTGGAATGGAGGGAAGACAGACTGAACACCAGAGCTGGGACCCCACTGCTGCCCTCAACCCCGGGGAGCCCAGTGGCCCCCACTCGCTCCCTGCTCCAACCAGTCCATACCCCAGTTCCCAGTGGGAAGGCCACCCCCGGGACACTGATGCACGCCCCGCTGCCTCTTTGCCATCTGAGGGGGCTGGGGCAGCGTAGGGGGGGGAACTCTGCCATGTGAGGGGGCTCCTCCTCCTCACACCCTGCCTGCCAGGGTCTTGCCAGCCCGGAAATCGGGTGAGCTTTATGGCCGCTGCAGCCCAACACAAGTTCGTGTGATAGTGGCCAGAGCAGAGATCGTAAAAGCAAATGATTTACAGGCTGGGGTGGCTGCGAGACGGGGACGAGGGGCACAGGGCGCCCAGGTGGGAGGAAAGGAAAGGGATTTTTCCCTCCGGAGGGACTGCCAGGACCATCCCAGCGCTGCGGGAGCAGCGGGGTGGTGGCAGGAGGATGATGCCCCAGCCCCGGTTTGCAGCAGCCCACGCGTGGGTCGTATCCGGCGGCAACCTCCGAGCCCAGCCCCTCAGTATGCGGGCCCCACAGCCCCCTCGAGCAGCTCCGCACAGCGCAGCCCCGCACAGCGCAGCCCCGCACAGCGCAGCCCACCTCTCGAAGGAGTCGGACCCGCAGCCCCCAGCAGCCCCTCCTTTCACGCAGCCCCCGCGGTCCCCGGACCCCCGTCTCCGCAGTGCCTGCACCCCACTCGCGCTCGGGACGCCCCAGCCCCGCTGCCCGCTCGACCCACGCGTGACTCCGACCCACGCTCGCTGCCAGCCCCAGCACGGACCCCGTGCCCCCACCTGCACCTCACCCCCACAGCCCCACTCGTGTCCGCTCCAGCGCCCACCGCAGGCCGCCCGTGCCCAGCCCCACGCGTGTCCGCGCGGGCGAACTCACCCCGCTGCCGCCGCCGGGGCCGCCGCCGGTCTGTGCGCCCGCGGAGCGCCGAGCGCTGCCGGGGCAGCCACGGGGCTGCTCAGGGCTGGGGGCTCGGGGCCCCTCCGCTGCGCCGAGCTCAGCTCCACGGGCACCGGGATCGGGGCCGGCAGAGCCCGGACGGGCGGCTCTGGCTCGTCCCCAGCGCCGGCTGCGAACGGGGGAGCGCGGAGGACGGGACGGAGGGAGGGATCCACATCTCTCCTCGCTCCGCCGCTGCCTTCCCGGAGCTGGAGCTCTTAGCGCTTACCTAAGTGGCGTCATCCCGCTGGAATGGCACCGGCCCATTAGCAGTCCCACAGAGCCCCGGCATCCGCTCCCCAGATAATGGCTGAGCGGAGCCGGGAACAGCGCGGAGCCTGCAGGCACTATTTAAACATTTCCGTCTGCCTCGGGCTCCGCTTCCCCCCACCCCGGACCCGCCGCCCCCTGGCCCCTGGGGACACCCGTGGGACCAGCGCTGGCTCAGGAGGCTTCGTGGCCATTGAAGCTTGGTCCAGCCCGATGGGGTGGACAGGGGTGTGGGGAGCAGGTTGGGTGCCCAGGGTCAGCATCTGCTGTTGGGCACTGTCACCTTGAGGAATCATTTGATCCGCACATGGGTGGGGAACGGGCGCAGCCACCATCACCCCTCACCCTTCCCGGGCATCTCAAGAGGCACCAAGTGGGAGCTCAGACGTTGCCCACCCCCCATGCGACCAGACAGCCTGACTTACACCAGAATCACCTCCTCTGATAGAAGCTGAGGTGGAAAAGGGGCTGTTCTGCACTGAGACCCACAGAACCATCCCACGCGCATCCCATTCTCCCAGAAACAAACTCCGTGGACACAAGGTCCAAACTGGACCTGGATATTCTGTCCCAGACATCTCGCTGTGCTGCTGTGCACTCCCACCTTCCACTGCTTTCTCTCTAAGGCAACAACTGCTGCTTGGAAGCACCAGGGATCCTTGTGACCTCCCTCAGCCCCATCCATAAATAAATGGGACCTGGTCTGACGATCCCAAAGACTCAAGGCCCCTCCTTGATGACAATGTACATTGTCATGGACTCCACTCGAGCTCCCACCCTCACTTCTGGCATCATTTCCAGGTTGGTCACCCATCCTTTCTGGCAGCATTCACTGGGTGAGCAAAGCAATGTTACCAGGCTCAGGACGGGTTCAGAACCTGCCTTGAGAAGCAAAGCTGAAGGCATCCAAGCCCTCACCCACCCCAGCAAATCCCCCCAGCACAGGACCCGGCTCCTCAGGGCCCGGCCATCCCTTGTCAATGTTGGTTGCCGACGGGCAGCACAGGGACTGGGTGCATGAGGGCAGGGAAGGGACGAGGAGCCTGAACAAGGTTGACAAAACCAGTTCTGCCACTTTTTGCTCCACCGGATGGGTACAAACCAGGATGATCCCACTGGGCTCAGCAGCTCCCTCCCAGCCGGTGCCAGCAGAAGCACTGGAGTCATGTCCAGCAGGGGCCAGTGACTCCGCTCTCCTGCACGGTGCCCAGTGGAGCCCTTCCAGGCTCATCTTTTAGGCATTTCTGGGCTGGGCAGCTCTCCATCTCCCTTGGATCCCACCAGAGATGCTCCTCCAGGAGTTTCTCCAAGAGGAATGCATCCCTGACGGCATGCCTCAGCTACAGCCCAGAGCCTTCATGCCGCATCTCTGTGCTCCCACGAACCCCTCCTCTTCTCCCCATCACTTTCAGCTTCATCTTTAAAGGTGCAGAAAGGAGCCGAGTTGCCCAATTCCCAGCGGCTGCCAGCTGGCTACGAGCACCTGACTCCCCAAACCATGTGTGACGTCCTCCCTTTATCCCAGCCCAATTCCCAGCCCAAATCCATCACTCCCACCTTGAGGTGCCGGTGATTCAGGCTTCCCTCGGCGGGCTCACAGCATCCCCAGCGCAGCCTGCGTCGTGCTCAGCCGGCGCTGCTTTATTCCTCACCCGCTGCCGAGGGAGGGCCAGAAAGGCATGAATGCAGAGATAGAGACAAGTGGGAGGGTGGGAAGCAGAGGGAGAATAGCAGCCTCCTGGTGAGTTATTGACCGCAGCATCCCTGAGGAGGAGGGCTGGAAACCTGAATGCATTTGCAAAGCAGAAAAGTTCAGAGACGCTCCCAAAGGAAGGGTCTGGGATGAAGCCTCCAACCAGTGTTTGGAGGGTTTGGGGCTGTTGGAAGAGGGATGTGGTGTCCTGCACAGCTGTATATGTTGAAGGGAGGTGTGAGGCTACATGAGATTCCCAATAACCTCTCCCTGCAGGAGTGATCATCCAGCCCTAAGCAGGGATTTAATATCCTTCCGCAGCTCTAGGACACCTCCAGGCACCCATCCTGCCTCTGCCCCTTCCCAGCCACTTCCACCTGAGCCAGCTCCTCTGGACTGGCCTTTTGAACCTGTTCCACTCCTCTTCCCAGCATGAATCCACTTCTTAACCCCTCAAGCACCCCTGGGGTCCTGTCCAGAGCATCTCCCAGGAGTCCCACTCTGCCCTTACTTTAGGGGCTGTCAGCACATCTTCTGCCTGGGGCTGCTGATAGCACTGAGATAGAGGCACTGAGGGCAGAGCATCCTGGTGTTCCCAGCTCCTGTTGCAGGTCTCCCATCTGCCTGTTGCAGATCTCTGCCTTGGGGAACCCTCATCCCTGGCAATCCCCACCAGTTCCTCCCTGCCCTGCTCCTGCACATCCCCAACACTGCAGAAACCATCTGGGGTGTCACCACCTTCCTTCCCCTCCTCAGCACGTGTTTCTCTAGATACACACACACATTCACAAACCCAAAAGAGCTCACTCTGGAGCCAGGAGAACTTCAGTTGCTTTTTTTAAAGCAACCAGGAGAGCTCAGCACTGTTTTCCAGCCATCTCCAAGCCCGAGCAGCCCTGATCCCACCAGTGAAGCACTGCGATTGGGGAGGAGAATATCCCAGTGAGAGGCTGGAGAGGTCTGCTCCTTTCGATGCTATTTGACAACCTGGGGCACTGGGTAGAGGGAACATTCACCTTCAGTTAAAGATGATGCAGGGAGGGGAGAGAGAAAAGGAGAGGATAAAGAGAACACGTGATTCCTCAGATTCAAGCAGCCAGAAGCAAGGAGGTAGGTGCTGGTGCCCTCTCATTTTTAGATTCACAGATTTGAGGGCCAGAGGGGACCGTGATGATCATCTGGCCTGACAGTCTGTATTATGTAAAAGCCACTTGAAGCCAGACAGTGCCACCAGCTTTTTAGAAGCAACAGCAAGCACTGGGGAGCTTATACTGTGATTCTCCCAAGGTAGAGGGATGTGTGAATCCCAGCACATCCCAGGTACAAAGGAGGCCAGGTACATCCACCCAAGCAAGTTCCAGCTGCACACGCAACAGCACTGGGGGAAAAAAAATTCTGTACCAGGCAATTCCTCTGGGCAGCAAAGAGGGGTAAGCAAGCATGGAGGAAAAAAAGTCACCCCTTCCTTGTGTTTTCCTTTTGAACCTTGCCTGGAAAGGGGATCCCAGCCCCGGGGTGCCTCTTGGCTGCTTTGGTGTAGAACACCATAGCCTGCAGCCGTGCAGCCTTTCAGGATGGGAGCTGAGCCCAGCCCTGAGCCAGATCCTGAGTTCCTCGCTCAGCCTGCAGCACCGTGGAGGTGTAGTCATTGACTGCACTGTGAGTTGTTTCTCTGAAGACGGAGCCAGGCAGCATAAAACATCAATAAAGAGCTCAGGATGCATCCCTTTAATGAGCTGAGATTGTAACACGCTGACGGAGCTTGCCAGAAGCTGCCCATTCTGTCAGGAGGAGGAGATCCTGCTGGAGAAGTGTTAAGTGGGTCCTGCTGACTCATTGATGCAGATGGCTCCGTCCCTACACGAGCCAGGAGGGGGAGAGCATCCAGCACAGGGGCTGAGCTGCTGCCCCGGCATGGCAACATGATGGACGGGGCACATCAAACCGGGTTTCACTCCATTCTCCATGTCCCATTGAGTACAGTGAGCACCAGACAGTGGGCAAAGCTGAGGTGCACCCACAGGCTCCCTGTGCTCCCATGGCAGCTCTTCTTTGACAAAACACATTTATCCCTGCAAGATGCCCTCCCCAAACCCACATCAATGTCCCAGCAGAGGAACCAGAGCAAAGGGGTGACTCAAGCAGCAAATGTGGCTCCAAACACGAGGTGGAGACCTCAGCCCTGAGTTCGTGGGGAACCAGAGCAGGGAGATAAAGCTGGATGGGGCACTGGGGGCCTGCCATTAATGTGTTTCATAGAACTACAGGCTGGGTTGGGTTGAAGGGATCTTACAGCTCATCCAGTTCCAACCCCCTGCCACGGGCAGGGACACCTTCCACTAGAGCAAGATGCTCGAGGCCCCATCCAGCCTGGCCTTGAACAGGCAGACAGCTCTGGTGATGGATCCATCACAGCCATCCAGCTGCCTGGAGTCCTTTCTTTGGGTGGCAGAGGGCACAGAGCTGAAAGTTTCTCGTTCCCATTAGGAGCATGCTGCCTTTGCTGAGCCAAAGCCTGAGGTCTGCCCAGGGTGCCATGGGTAGGGATGTGTATTTCCCCACACAAACCCCACTGCAGCACCCACCATGGAACCAAGTACCAAAGAGTTTGCACCCTCTGGACCCTGAGCATTCCCAGAAAGCCCATGGAGCACCTGTCCCTCTTGCCAGGCCTGATCCACAGGCCACAAGCTTTTCCTCCAACCTTTGTAGAGCACCTCCAATCCCCAGCTCGATGAGATGGGATGCTCCCACCACTCTCTTGTGTCCCCAGACCCTCAGAACCATCTCTCTCCCTGGCTTCCACGCTCCCTGGGATGCTTCTCCACCACCCTGATCTTTCCTGGGAGCAGTCACCGACTGCTGTTCCAGGTCTTCCTTGGGCTTCCCAGGGGTCCCAGCCTGAGCTCCACCACGTGTTCTCCTGCTCAGCTCCTCACAGCGCAGCCAGTCCATGCCCCCAGCAACAAATGTACCTGCCCCGAGCATCCTCTCTTGCCTGCCTACCGCCTTCCCGCCCCCAGCGAGCCCTCTCATGTGCACTGAGCATCACGCATTCCCTGGGAATGGAGGTGGCGGATGGGGAGGGGTCAGCTCCCGCCATGGGCACTTTGGGTTCCCATTTCAATGGCACTTGAACTGGAGTGTGTGTGCAGGGCTGAAAGGCTCCCTATTAAATTGCCAATCTGATCACGTGCTGCCGGGATGTGGCCGTAGCTAAGCAGGAGCACCACCCCACAGCCGCTTCTTGGCTGGTGACTCCGCTGCTCAGTGCAAGGCAGAGCCACGAAAAATGGGAGAAACCAGGGGGGAGGAAGGGGAAGAAATGAAATAAATAAAGCCTAAGGTGAGTCCTTGTGAATGTCAGGAGCTCCTCGGTGTGACAGTGATCCTCCCGCTCCAAACTCACTCCGGGTGAGAGCCAGAGAGAGGGTTTCATTAGGATCTGGTAGCAGGCTATTTTCAGAGCTGACATCCTACCCACGGCTAAAAATAGCTGGTCCCCTCCACGCAAACCAGGGTTTCTTCTGTTAAACTTTAATAAACCCCAGCAAGGCTCAGACCTTACTTTCGCCCCACACTTTGCTCCCTGACTTCCTCCATCCCTTTCCATCCTCCCTTGATTCCCCACTTCACCATCTCTCATTTCCCAGCCTGCAGGGGCCAGAGCAGATGTCACC